ATGAAAAAATCACCAATACTGGGGCAATCCAGGACACACCGACAGGGGGCAGGTGTTCCTTGGTAAAATTTCTCACGACACCGAAGGAAGCCCAGGATCAACAACAACAAGGGGATCACATCATGGAAAAGGAGTTGCAAATTGTATTCCTAATGGGCAATCAACATAAAGGCATGGTACGGGTATGGGACCGTTTTTAGGGTTTCGGGACCCCAGGACCATTCCCACGCATTCCCACACATTTATTCGTGTCCTGGCTCTGGTTTCGAATATAAAAGGGCACAAGGGAACTTGGGGTTTGGATCATCTATTTGTATAGGCATCTCGAATCACTTGTTATGGTGTTTTGATTTCCAACTTTCCCACAGGGCTCGATGCAGCCATCCACCAGCGAAACCACCACCAATAAAATACGGACTTGCCACTTGTCTTCGATTTGGAAACACTCCCCTGGGGTGAGCTGGAAATCTTATAGATATTTTAATTAATTCCCTTTCTTGCGGCCCAAGTGTGCTGAAAGTGTGGAGCGATAGGGAGGGTTTCTGTTTTTTTTTCGTTTTCAAGGGGATTCGAGGATTGCACGATAAGGCGTAGGGAGAAAGTGTGTGCAAAGCGAGATACGAACGCGTACTTGAAGATACGTTTTAATGACTTGTCGTGGGCTAGGGGATCCTGTTTAATGGTTCTTTTTTATCAGTGCCACTAATGGATCGTACAGATTGCACCCCCTGCCAAGACTAGCCGACAGCGTTTTGTGGGAAATCGGGACTGCAGATCCAAAGTGGGAGTCTTTTGGGGGGATCCCTTTATCTGGGGGGATCCCTTTATCTGGGGGCCTCCTGTCAAGGGGCCATTGACAGTTTACACTTGGCGGAGGCCGTGAACGATGATGCATATGCATCTCGTCCTGCTGGTGGTGGTAATATGATATATGCACTCGAAATCTTCACAAAAAATAAAAGCCCCAGTCACAGCCTTAGCTCCAGTTTGAGTCGTCGAGAGATAATGGGCAACGTGCCAAGTGCCCGACCGTGTATACACAACAAACAGTGCATAAAAGCAGGCTGAGGAGCCATTCACAAGCCGATGGTTAAGAGGGGGGCCTCGGGGGCGGAGAGCTGGGGCTGCAGTAGGAGGTGTGCCGGGTCTTTTATGTGATCTCCTCCGAGTGGAGTGGAGTATGTGTCGGCATCCCAGCAGCCACAGAGCAGAGTCCACTGGTTTTGGCGGATGGCAAACTGGTTTCTGTCTTTTTGGATCTTTACATACACCACAGGAGATGCCAATGGCGGCATGGTTACACTCTGAAAAATTTCAAATTATTAACTTTGGTTGAGTACAACTATGCTTGCCCTGGCATGAGACTTTTCTCATTCTTACAACTAAAGAAATAAAATAAGCAAAACAAGTCTTATTAGCCTAAGAATAAAACCCAAACTTGTTAATGGACTTTTATGGCAATTGCTATTCCTAAATAACAAAAATAATGTTTTTTTTAAGAACTGTAATTAACATAGAATATTTTGAAATACGAAAGTTAACTGATACTATTTCTATGAAATTAAAAATACTTAAGTGACAATATCAAACGCGTATTAATCCGTTCTAACTAGTAATCAAAATTGGATTTGCATTGATATTCGAAATACTCATTCAATTGACAATCTTGAGTATAGCAACCCCTGACCTCCAGCCCGATCGATTTATAGCCCTTTTTTTCGAGTGTACACATGGACACACATACTTAACGCTCCGCTATGACGAACAAATGTGTAAAGCATTAAAAAAGAGATCTAAAAAATACGAAAAAAATGAGAAAAACTGAATAAAAAAACAAAAGCGTCGACCGCATCCCAAACAGCGGCAACCAACAGAGGAGGGCAAAAGAGACGGAGACCCGGAGCGGACCGAGCTCGAGCTCGAGCTCGAGCCCAAGCCCCAACCAATCTTTTCAAGTTGATCCCCATCAAGATATTATTTGACAGCAATGAAACGACTGGCACGAGTTTGTTTCCCACGGTCTGGCGTTGCCTTGGTGTGCGTAGTATCTGTGTGCTGGTGTATCTGTGGGTTAGCGGGGGGTTTTTGAGGGGTTTTTGTGGCGGTTTCGAGGGGCTTTCAGAGGGGGGAACCCACCGACGACTGCTGACTTGGCTGGCTGCTTTTCGCGGCGCAATAAAGTTGAAAGCGCACTGTTGGATATAAATTAATTCAACAACACGCTATGGCCATACACACTGTTGTTGTTGCTCTGAGTCTCCGTCACCGTCTCCGTCTCCGAGTTTTGCACGCTCTCGTGCCCCACCTCATACCGCTCCGCCCCCTTGGGCGATCGCTCGACTCCGCGGGGGCACTGAAATTCGCGCGTGCGTATACCATCGATAAAAAAAATAAAATTGTTTGCAAAAAAAAAAAAGAAAAATGAAATAAAGCAACCAAGAGAAATAATAAAGCGAGAGAAATGAGGTCTTCGAAGATATGTGACTGTATTTGTGTGTTTGTGTGTTTTTATATCTTCGGATGATTGGGTGTATAAAGACCAGTTGGTCATAAGCGACTTGGGCATATGCGCTACACCCCATCGAGCATTGCAGAATCTGATGAAATTTCAATTATGACTCATAGCTGCCGTCACTTCCTTATGAAACGGAATATTTTTTAGGAATGCCAGCAGATTGGGTTTCTGCATTTCAAAATATTCGCCGCTCTTGAATTACTATATTAAGGGCACGTGCTCGAAACTAATTGCCGCAATTGGTATTAATGATACGAATTACGGCAGTGATTCAGAACTTGTTAAGCTAGGGACGTGAATAAGCAATTATTATAGCGATCACACGGAAATTATAACTTCCTAAATTCTTAACTACATTGAACTAAATATATTACTTATATATAGTATGTTACAAAAATATTTTTTTCTAAGTACTGTACTTAAAAAAATCGATTAAATATTGTTTTGAATTTACTCTAACATCGGTTTTAATAACAATAAAGTAATTCGATTTGGTTCGATTAATTGAACGGAAACTATAGGTAATAATATGGATCAAAGTTTAAAAATTAATTAAGGCACTTCTGTTATAATGCATTTTCGATTACATATATTAATTTCATTGTAATTGATACAGACTTTTTAGGTGATCCAATCAAGTCTTTTAATACCCATATTAATTTTGAATAAACGTTTTGTTTTCGACGAAGTAACCTATTTTTATATTGTTATACTACTTTTTCTTGATCAAAGTTTTCGAATAATTGTTTAACTGGCTTAACTTATAATAGTGAAGTAAATTGTGCAGATATGGACCATCAATAATTATTTTTCAATGTAGTGATAGCAAATTCTTGAACCTACAATCCAATAGGAACTATTCATATAATTACTGATACTGGGTATTGCGAATATTCCCGAAAAACCACCCCCCAAAAAGTGCATCCATCCCACCCCTAGGCCCATCAAATCCAATTAGCCACTTCCGGAGCATTCAGCTTTTTGACATCCACAACTTAACTGTCCCGGTCCAGCGGACAAAACGTTTCGGTTAGATAAGTTGTTAACTGATTGTGTGTTGGCTCGTTTATCGCCGTTGCTGTTTTGTTTCGGCTAACTGTAGCTCATTTCGAATGCGTCGAGAGGCAATCTTAATTTGTCTTATTTGAGCTGCCGTCGCTGGCCTTTTGTTATTTGTGTGCCAATGAGCCGGGCTCGTGTCATTTTCAATGGACGGGCGAGCGAGCTAGCGATCGTCATCGTCGCCGGCACTTCTAATTAAATATAGTATTGTGAAATCTGAGCTTTGGCTCCAAGATGTGTCAGTTGCCGGTGGATGGGGCTCTAGCATCTCAACTTGATGAATCACGACGACGCTATAGCGTTAAAAATAAATACCAAATGTGCTAAATATATATCGTGTATATCCCCCCACGAGCCATAACATTAATAGCGTGTGCTGGCAACAACCATAACGATTGTAACCGACTTTCGCGCACACGTCGATTTCGATCGGTTCCCAGCCAGCCGTCGCATTGGAAATGGTAATTGTCTACAAATAGAGGCGAGCGACGACCCAAGATCCCCGAAATCCCCAGCTGCCAGAACCTAACCCAAACCCAAACTCAAATCCCAATCCAAATCCAAAAGCATAAGCCCCCAACCGACAATCAAGAATAATCATGTAAACGAAAATCGTAATGCTCGTCCCACGAAACCCACGATCCAATCAATGATCCATAAAGCGCTAACAAAAAAGCCAGAAACGCTGGCCCGATGACGATTCCACAATTATCAGCGTGCCATAAGCTACTGCAAAAGGGTGAAGGCACATGGCAAGACTTGAGTCTTGAGACCTCATACCCCATACTCCATTCCGCATACCCAACCGAACCGCACCGAATTGAAACCCAAAAGACCGGACCCCGAGCCGACCATACAAATGAATTGAAATGCAAACATCTTGTTATGGATGGAAGGCATGTGCTCGCCTCGCATCGTATCTGGGATCCCGAGTCGCAGTCGCACAGACCTCTTAAAGGCGGTCCGTCTGTCCGTCCGTCTGTCTGTCCAAGTCTTTCCAAGACAAAAAGACAGAAAGACGGACGAGGGATCGTACAAGACCCCAAGCATGCACAATCAGAAGAAGTCAGGCCAGCCGTCGTCATCGCCGTCGTGGAAATCGGCTGCGAAACAGTTTCCCACGGTATAACAATCACAACACATACATAAGGAAGGAGGGCGAGAGAGAGAGAGAGAGAGAGAGAGGGAGAGGGAGAAGGAAGGCGCAGCTCAAGTCATTTTATTGCCCTCACATATACAGGCCGTTGAGCGAAAAGTATACAAAAAAACAGAAGCCACCACCACCACCACCACCACCAGCAGCAGCACCACTGAACCACCAGAAACCACCGCTGGCAACAGCAGCAGGCCGCGCACGAGGCAAAATGAGTGTCCCGCTCGCACTCACTGGCTGAATGGCCGGGCGGCAGAGGCTATATAAAGCCGATCCCACAGCCAGCCGACTCATTCAAAGCTCCGACTTCGTTGCGTGCACACAGAGTCTCTCTCTCTCGAGATCTAGTGGAACATTACGACTGTGGATTACGCGAGTTAAAAACCTATACCTACTATACCACCAAACAAATTTATACCAACAATGGTTCTGGAGATGGAGATGTCCAAGACGTATCAGTACCGCAAGGTGATGAAGCCCATGCTGGAGCGGAAGCGTCGGGCCAGGATCAACAAGTGCCTGGACGAGCTGAAGGACATCATGGTGGAGTGCCTGACGCAGGAGGGCGAGCATATCACCCGGCTGGAGAAGGCCGACATTCTGGAGCTCACGGTGGAGCACATGAAGAAGCTGCGTGCCCAAAAGCAACTGCGTCTATCGAGTGTATCCAGTGGATCGGCTAGTGGCCAGGATCCCAAGCTCAGCATTGCCGAGAGTTTCAGGGCCGGCTATGTGCACGCCGCCAACGAGGTGTCCAAAACTCTGGCCGCCGTGCCCGGAGTGAGTGTGGATCTGGGCACCCAGCTGATGAGTCACTTGGGTCATCGCCTCAACTACCTGCAAGTGGTGGTGCCCTCGCTGCCCATTGGAGTGCCCCTTCAAGCTCCAGTCGAGGATCAGGCCATGGTCACGCCGCCACCATCGGAATGCGGTAGCTTGGAGAGCGGAGCCTGCAGCCCGGTGCCCAGTGAGGCCAGCTCCACCTCCGGTCCCATGTGGCGGCCCTGGTGATCAGTGGACGCCAGCTGATCTTAAACTGGATCGCCTTCAAGCGGAAGGCTTCTACAAATCGTCGCTCTGAAAGGTGCTGGAATCGAGACCGCACCATCTTCTTTGGAGCCCAGCAGCTGCTGACCAGGATTTGCTTGCCCGGCAGTTCAGCAGATGCCCCAATCTCTAGCAGAGCCTCTTGTTCCGGCTATAGAGATCGGATATTTCTGCAAGAAATGTAAAGAAATCTATTACAACTGAAACTGAAATCAAAATAAATGACACTCAAACTTAAGAACCTCCTGCGTTTATTTATTTCCCATCAAACTAGGGCTCATACTCAAACCACTTTTAGTAGGCGTTCAACCGCAAACTACAGAAAAAAAACCCCTTAAAACAAGAAACGAATTTGAGATAAACTCCATGGCGAACCGAATCGCAGAGCCCACAGCCGGAAGTCGGGCAATATTTTCCCACACTCGCAATATCGTCTGGGCTCTTTGGCTTGGCCTCATTATGCCCCGAGAATTCCGACTGGGCATGGGTATGCGGGGTCTTGAAAGGGGTACACCAGTGTATGCTGTATGAGTATATCTGCGGGAAGTTTTGCGCCGGCGCTGTCGCAATTAAATAATAAAATAAAGCAAAAAGTCAGTTCTAGGAAACGTCATTTATTATGAGGCCCGCCGAGTGTGAGAACCGCGGCTCCGCTGTCAATGGCTCAGCATTGTGGTCATTGTGTTTTGTTTTATTCTGTCTCTGTCTCTGTCTCCGTTTTCTGTTTTCAGTTTTAAGTTTTCAGCTTTTTGTTCCAGGCTTTGACAGCCTTAACTGCGCTTGACCGCTTGGCACATGCGCGGACCGCCGGTCAGACATTGCAAATTAAGCCCGCGACCGCGACCGTCTCGGCACTTAAAACTTCAATTTCTAGCTCTGTATGGGTTTCGGAGTGCGGTTCGATTACGGAACCGCGGACTCAGCGCCTTTGTCTGGTGGACAACTATGATGATGACTACTTACCGGGTCGTCTTGGGTCTGGGACCGTTCAAGCCGTCGCTGATTGCTGTTAATCTTCAGAAAATGTGATTAGTCACGTAACTTTGGCATGGAGACGGGGTTTTTAGCGCTTCTCTACTATGTTTGTTTTTGTTTTTTTTTTTTTTTTTTTTTTTTTGAGGTACAAAACAGCTATTTATAGGGCTCAACGGTAGTCTGCTGAAATGGGTGATCTATTTTGCGATGGACCAGTTGAAAACCGATTACTTGACTTGCGGAGTGATAGAGAGGGGCAGTCTAGGCCATAGCCGGGGGCTAATTGGATAGCTTAGTTTGTGAAACTGATATAAAGGGGTTCCCATTGAACCTGTCCGTTTTGGATTTCGATTTGTGCCGTAAAGTGCGTCATTCCTGAGAGCTTTAACGAATATGATCATTGATGATCTACACAAACTGAATGACCTTGTCTTTATAATATTGGGTGAATATCTAAGTTAAAATAGTATTATTAAAAAGGTATCAATAACCATTTCAGCTAAGCTCTTTATCACCGAAAAACGGTCCTGCTGATATGATATATAATTTGCTTTGCAATCATACTATAAATATATAAGAGTTCAGGCTTGGATCCCAATCGATTGGGAATTTCATCATAATGTTATTCTTGGTAAAAAATAGGACTTTTTGGGTGGTAAGTCTTAAGAATTATGTCCAAATTAAGATTTTTTAATGAGTTGTTTCATTTAAACTTTGTCAAAAGAAGATTAATAACTAAATTATGCAGTTTTGCTCAGATGACAACTGACCAATTTTTATCTGATCTTAAAAAATATAATTGATTAGCCAGATTTATTGCATTTATAATATAGGGTTTTTCGTATGATCCAATTGTTATGTTTAAAAAAAAATAAATTAATATTTATTAGTTCTTTTTATGTGTATCGGACCCCAGTCCACCCATTACGGCTCCTAAGACAGGAGGTACAGTAGAGCCCACACGTCATCCATCACGTGACCTCTGTGTGTCGGTGGGCCCCCATCGAAAGCACCGCGGGTCCGGCCACCTACTTCAGTCATAATACTCCGCACGCCGCTAAAGTTTAATGCAGCCATATTAAAGTAAGCGCAAGACCACCACTTAATAAAGGAGAGGCGGCGGTAAACCGGCCCGGCAATGGATGGAGGATGGGTTGGAATGGAGCTCGTGCCTCGGTCTCCAGTCCCGCCAGCAGCCACCTCCTCCATGCCCATACCCATACCCATACTCACTCCCATTCGGATTCCCACTCCCATTTCCATTCCCATACAGACACAGTCTGTGGGCAGCTTGTCCAGTGGCAGCAAGAGCGTGTGCCAATGTAGTGTAACAACATCCCATATTAAAGATATTACAGAGTCAATAGCACACCATATAAGTGTGTTTGGGTGCCTCTCCAGCACTCCATCGCTCCATCTCCAACTTTAACTCCCCAAACGATGCAACGACCATCTCCCACTCCAAACTCCATAACCGATCTCCACTGTCATCCCGCTCGCTCTGCCGCTTTTTGGTCATAAACCAACTAAATTGAGTTCGTTCAACAAAACAGCGACGCATGCGCCGGGCCCGAACCCAAAGTCGTACCCCCTCGAAGCCTCGAAACCTCGGACCCCGACCCCTTTCGCGACCAGATCACACGGCGCGCTCTTAACGATCGTGTGTCCACAGTCATTACAATGTTGGCCAATGCACAAAAGTTGAACGCTGCGCGCTGAACGCTGAGCGGCGAGCCTTCGACTGAGACACACTTACTGCACGCTGCTTTTCTCTTTCATGCCGATCTATGGCCATATAGCCACAGCTCGAGTCGGTCGTGATCTTGCCCGTAAGTGGTCTTGTATCTTGAATTCGTAAAGATACACTCACACACACAGACAGTGTAGCCAGACTCACACACACATAAAAAAGGGCAGGTGTGTCGATCGTGTGAGAACCACGTTCCAAACCATTTTCTCACGATCTTCGCTTCTGATATTACTTTTTTTTTTTTTTTTGGCTACGGTCCCCGGTCTTCGGTCCTCAGTCCCTTCCCCTAAGAAAAAAAAAAAAAAAAGAGACCCTTTCTTTGGGCCTCGGTCTTCGAGTGATTCGTATGCAGTTTGTGTATTGTAGTTTTTAATGACTTGGGCTTGCGTTCAAGCTCGATCGAGGGATTGCTGGATTGCTGTATCGGGGGTTCGGTTACGTCGCCGCCATTCGTTCATCATTCATCGGGTTTGCCTATAAGATTAAGTATCTTTTGTGCCAGCATTTCCTTTTGGCGTTTTGGGTGCAATTCCTCTACATATCCCTGTCTGTGTCCATACTCTGCTTATTATCCATTGTAGCTGGCTACGGTCGGGTTGGTGTTGGTTCTCTTATTGTCAGCTCGACATTTAAGTCGCCTGATCGGATCACCTAGGGATGGGCAAGCGCTGAAAGTGAGCTAAGATTTTGCATGGTTCTTAGGATGTGTCCTTTGCTATAAGGGTAAAAAGTTCATCAATGTCTGTTAAACTTCTAAGATGACCTTGGAGATTTTTCTTGAATAGTGTCAGTAATGAGTAGATGATTACAGGAATTTTTTTATATTAGTCATCAATGAAAATAAGTAGGTATATACATTTTGTTGCAACTGTATAAAATAGGGTAACGCAACCAATTTAACCGCGACCTATAAAGCTGTAAAGTAATTTTATTTACATTTTATAACTTTTTTTAAGAAACGAATGTCAACTACATATATGTATGTATGTATATGCAAGCGTACCAAAAGTATAGACGATATACATTTTTCAATGAAAATGGAAGAATGCTGGTTAAAGCCAATTACACTTTCAATATTAAACTTATAAATATATTAAATGGCATACCATAAAAAATGTTTAGTATTCTACTTGGACTTTTTAATAATTAATAAATTAATTTCCCTGACTGGTATATACAGTATACAGTTTACCTGAAACCCGAATTCTTATTCATTTCCATAAATAATTGCTGGCACCAAAGAACATTAAAAGGTCGGAAATGTAAAATTAAGTATAAACACTTAAGTGGGTCTGTTGTGAATGTGATCTCTTGGAGATAATCTACATTCGGCTTTAACAAGTTAACAGATTGTTAATCAGCCGAAAAATCTCTATAAATTTAGTTCCTTCGAATTTATTACACTCTTCCATCCCTAGTCCCAAGGCAATCCCGATACCGATCTCGTTTACTATTCCATCGCTGTGCCTTCGCATCGATTTTAAAGACAGAGGCGTCTGGGGATCGGCTACTGGTCTTGGCACACAGATAACCAAATGATGCTGGGCCAACCAAAGTAATGAAAAAAAACAAAATTCAGAAAAATAAAAATAAAACCCAAAAGACCCAAAGCAGAACCCATAAAAAAAGACGAAATCAACGATATCCTGTCCCGGACTGGGGCTCCATCTTAAAGTTGCCCTAGGGCAAGGCACTCATTTACCTGATCCGAAGCAATTATGTGCCCGTAGCTTACCTTGACCATTGTGCACACGATTTTCTAGCCGAGTGGCCAGGGAGAATCTCGGTAAAAAAACAAAAAAAAAAAAAGAGGAGAACAAAGCGAAATCAGGATGGATGCGGGATGAATGATGACTCGATCCCTTTTCGGGTTCCACCCCGGCATTATTCCCATTTATTTCCCTCTAAGTCTGAGCGACATTGTCGTAACTCGATTAGACACGCTGAGATAAGACTCTAATTTTTTGTGTTACCTTCGCTTATTGTCCGCACACGTGTTCAAGACCAAAGAAGCCAAGACCATATAGCTATACCCCATTGCCTTTTGCCCATTGCCCATCGGTAGCCCCGACTTTGGACAGTTCCTTTCTCCTTCTTCTGCTTAATTTTTCTTGTTTCGGCCTTGGCATTGTTTTCGCTTTCTTTTGTCTGCTTGTCGATTGTGTGCATCCGTGGGGCGATCGTATAGTTCTAGTGGACAAACAGAGGTGCTAGCATTTCCGTTCTAGACCGCAAATTATTGAGAACTGTTTGGATGTGGGAGTGTCTCGGCAATTTTCATGTCTGCCTATCAACTGAGTCACTGGTGGCAGTAAAAATCGTGATCTTTTCATTTTAGCTATATAATTTATTATTTATTTAGTTATCACATGAACTGCGCGTCCTCATCTAAAGCTTTGTGTGTGTATGGTGTTTACTTAAAACTAGGTTGTGAGTCGGAATGCGGGAATTTCCAGCGACTCGGAAGACTTTTACTTTCTTTAATCTCTCCTTTCTTCTTGCGTTTTTAAGGGAAACGAAATCCCCCCGTTTACCAGGGACGCCAGACGTTTTCCTCGTCCTCGCTGTCGTCCTCCATTTTGGTCACATCAATGGTGGTCAGCAAGGAATGGCTGACCGAGCTGGCATTGGAGTTGGGACTGCCGGCGAAGCTAGAGACCGGAGAAATGGGCACCGAGTAGGCATCCCGGGTGGCGATCTGCACGGAGAGTGGGGCGGTCACGGGCAGGGCTTCCTTTTCGGCTGGCTGGATCTGGTTGAGGCGCTGTCCCAGGTGGGTCATCAGCTGGGTGCCCAGGCTGACGTTCATGCCGGGCAGTTGGGACAGCGAACGGGAGACCTCGTTCACGGCATGGATGTAACCGGAACGGAATCCCTCCGCCGGAGTCAAGCTCTCAACGCCGGAGGCGCGTTTGTGCTGGCGCTGCTGCTTCATCTTCTGCAAATGGGTGACGGTCAGCTCCAGGATGTCGGCCTTTTCCAGCCGGGTCACGTGCTCGCCCTCGGACTCCAGGGTGGCCACCATCAGATCTTTGAGCTCGTCCAGGCACTTGTTGATTCTGGCACGACGCTTCCTCTCCAGCATGGGCTTCATCACCTTGCGGTACTGATAGGTCTTCGACATCTCCGACATTTGTAGCGACGACATTTTGTGGATTATTATGTGTTATTTCTTTTTCGAATTTATGGTGTAAATTCTTTGAGCTGTGGCTGCTCTGACGGTCGAAGACGTTGTGTGTTGCCAGACCTTCGAGGAGCGGCCTTTTATAGCCGAGCAGAAACAACCCCCAACAATTGGGCCAAAGGGAGTGTGGATCGTCGTGTGTGCCGGCATTCGAGGAGCAAAAGGGACAGCGACACGCTTCGTGTGCTGGCATGAGGGTTGCTCTGTGGCTCAGACCCTTCCGCTTCTTGAGACCGCTCCTTATTGTTCGGGCGATTTCTTATTGTTGCCCCGGCACCCTTATCAACGCAGTCAGGGAGCAGGATCGCTGGCAGGATCGTGGGAAACACTCTCCAGCTCGGTTTCTCACATCGACTCGCTCACCTGCCCGCAAAAAGCAGCCGAGCATGGCTATGGCTATGGGCATGGACTTGGGCATGGGCATGGGCATGGGAATTTGCAGGGCGAACAGCTGCCGTTTTCTAGATTTGTGTGTTATGATTTGACTATGGCAGGGCAGGGTGAGGGGCATAAGGATAATGAACTGCCATCTCATCGGGGTCCTCTGGGGTTCCCACGATAGCGAGGACCTCTGCCGGGGAATGGGGATATGTGTAGGGATAGGGATAAGGACAAGGCGTTGCGATTCCTCGACGACTTCCTGTTTACCGTTGGCATTCCAAATTGGATCGGGTTTTCAGTTTGAATTGAGGAGCAGAGGAAGGGAAGGGCAGCGGCAGCAACAGCGACAGAGGCATCCTGCACTTGTTGGTCGGCCGTTGTGATCCTGTGGGAACGTTGCTCGTGTGCGTCGAGTGTGCTTAATGTGTGTTCGACTTCCCCGTTCCTCCTGACCCGGCAGGACCTCGTCATCTCACTCCAGTCGCCGGTGTAAGAGGGGCCAGAGCCAGCGATGCTGATCCTGGAGCGCTGCTCGCGTGTGGCTCGCGGTGTACACACTTTCGGCTGTAAGTTGCTCGCGTTCCAGGACCTTTGTAATCGATGGATGGATGGTGCATGACAGGGATTTGTAACACTTGTGGGGTCTCAATTGCAGTGACGTCAATTGGAGCTTCTACAGTGGGTCTCTTTGGGTGAACTCCTTATTGGTTAGATTGAGGGGCGTTGATTGGGTATAAATCGATAAGTATTTAGTAAACTACTTAATTATTAATAAATTCTTTAATAATTACTGCTTTTGCTACAGAAGCAGACCATACTTATTTCGATGAAATGTAAATATAAATAAATATATATATATAAATATTTTAAATATAAATATTTTCCTGGGAAAACTCACTTTACTTGGCTATATATAAAATGAATCATTTTATTACAATAAAAGGAAATTCTACATATTAATTGGGTTAAGATATTTGCTTCAAATGTTTTAAAAGTATTCTAAAATGTTGCCAGTTATATAAATATATTATAATAGTAATGCAACTGGCAGTACCAACAATTAAGAAATTAATGTATGCGAATCTGTACCAATATAAGGTTGTTCGAAGTTTAAATTGTTTCTACACAACCAAAAATATATCTATTTACGTGAAATATTTTAGAATCTGATGGAAAACCTGTACCTGTAAATAAACATTTTGATAATACGATAATATCAAAGTAAAACACAAGACCAAAAGCATTAGTGGAATAATGTCTTTATTATTTCCAAGTCCCGCTCGCTATTCATATACCAAGAAAATTAGGCACTTAAAGCTTCATTATATATTCAGTTTATTATTCAAGTGTTCATGGCTTAGATTAAATGTTGTAACCCGAAAATGCGAATTTAAAGCATACAAAAAAATGTTTCCTTATTCAAACTATGTGGAAGCTCAGTGGAAAGCTCTTTGTTAGGGCGATAAAATAAATTATAATCAATTAAATACATGAATCATTAAATCTATGGGAGATCAAATACCAAATACGAACTTAAAAACTATCACAGGAACATCACATCATCTTGTCAAATCAACTACCAACTAAATACGATTCTGAGGCAAATGTTTACACTAGACCTTGGAAAACTTGGATTGTTTCGTACTCGAAACAGAGTGGTAAAGCTATCAATGTGAATTAATTGCGTATATTTGGGATGCTCTTCACCAGGGACGCCAGACATCCTCGCCATTGGGCATGCCCTCCTCTTGAGGGGATTTAGAGCGTTTTTGATCGGATAGATTAACTGGCTCTTCTGCAATTTCGGAGCAATCCTCTTCCTGCTTCATGTCCTTAAGCTGGTGGCCCAACTGCTTCATCAGGTGGGTGCCAAACTGGAGATCCAAGCCGGGAACGGTGGAGAATATGTGCGAGACCTCGTAGGCAGCCTGGGTGTATCCGGCCCGGAATTTGTCCAAGTTGACCTGGGTGGCTGGCGGGGATTGCGGATTGGTCACCCGCTGCTGCTGCTGTGCCTTCAGATAGTTGACGGTGAGCTCCAGGATGTCCGCCTTCTCCAGCTTGCTGACCTGCTCGCCCTGCGCATCCATCGTGTCCACAATAAGATCCTTCAGTTCGTCCAGATAGAGGTTCATCCGGGCGCGTCTCTTCCGCTCCAGAAGGGGTTTGGTCACCTTGCGATAATGCTGGGTCTTGGTCATAAATCTCTGACCCTGCACGGCCATTGTGTATAATGAGGTTGTTTTGGCGTTGGAGCTGTTTGTAAATAAGGTTGCGATGTTGCTGCTGCCGCTCCGCACTGCACGGTAGTCACTTGAGAAATGATCTTGCCGCAAGGTAAGCTGATCCTTTTTGTAGCTTCGTAGCTGCCGGTGCCGTACACTTGCGAAATCGAAATCCTCCCCTAACTGCCACCACGCACTGCCATCACAACGCTCCTCCACGCCGACGATCACCACGAAGCATCAATCGGGTCACTCTCTGCTTGTGGCAAGATTCCCTCGGCGCTGCACGTGTGCAACATCAAAAAAAATTGGATCGGGCGGAAGGCGATGTGGCTCTCTCTTTGCACAGACAAAAATTTTAAGATTTTTATGAAAGGCACTAAATAAAATATGACTAAAAAAAATATTTGTAATTTATTTAATTATTTTGATGTTATAATTGTTTACAAAATCAAGACTAACATAGAACTTAAGGGCTGTTTATAGTCTATATAGAGCAACTTCTTAAGGAATAAATAATTCAAACAATTGTTGGTTTAGGAAACAATGTAAACTTTTTCGGTACTAAAGAAAAAACCTTTGTTTTTCCCTTTATTAGGAATATTAATAAACAATTATTTTAGTAAGTATAGTCACATTACTTTAAAATTATTAATTTTTCGAGACGATTCGAAAATATGTTTGTTTGATCTTCATGTGTTTCTATAGCAGGATAATAATTGTAGGCCATCCTTGAGTTTTTTTCAGTGTATTTACTAGGGCCCAATAACACGTTCTTCGGATCTTCGCTCTCTTCGGACCTCTCTCTTCCGCGTGCTACTGCCGTGCGCCGGCGCAACAGCCCGAAGAAGGGTCGGGGTCGGAGATGAGGAGCACGAGGATGAGCCGAGGAGAGACGAGTGCGGAGCAATCAACCACCACCACCAGCAGCGCACCACACTCACACACGACATCGCCATCGTCATCGACATCGACATGACCTCGACCTGCCTGCTAGCCATCCGTGCCACTCTCCCCGCTTCCCGATCTCTGTCTCCTTGGTTCCCACTCCTCTCGAAGAAAGAGAGCCGTGCCCCATGCGTGCCGTCCTCACTTAAGCCAAAGAGCCAATCTCGTCGGGGCGAAGGCATTGTTGCACATGGGTGTGGGCTTCGGGTTGTGTGTGTGCATACACACTGAGCAAAAGGTCCACAATTTTAAGTATTGTTCAATATTTTCTCATTTCAATTTTAAATTGCTGAAAATTAAAAATGTTATGTTTTTAAATTCTTTTGCCAATAAAATAAATTATAGACTCTTATATTTCAGGTCCAAGTTTTTTTCTTTATGGAAATTTAACTTATAATAAATCTTTCAAATTTGCTTTGGTAGTAAACACAATATTATTTTTGACATTTTTTAATCGAATTTTTCTTAAGTTATTAATTATTAATTAGAATTATTGATATTTATGCAACTGTAAAAACATATTTGTCTTTTTTGACCAATTATCTTTCAGTGTGAGCTCTTCCCTTTTGGCGCACAGTCACACAGACCTCATTTCCTCTTTGGCGCGACATTGCGTTACACTTACGGGCACGGAGCAGCAGCAGCAGAAGCAGCAGTAGAAGCAGAAGCAACCACCGCAGCAACCACCACCATCGGATCAGCATAGCACCACCCAGGCAAGCAGCCGGTGCATGTGCATCGTGAGAAAGTTTGCTGGAGGCATTCCCACAAGTATTGGGATTGTGCCGCACTCCTGCTCTCGGTTTCTCGGCCTCGGTCAGCTGTGACACTTGTTTGGCGCATTTGGGCGAGATTGGGCTTGGGTTTTTTGGGATTGGGCCATTGACGAAATCCACCTGCCCGAGGGTGAGTTCCAGTTCAAGACCAGGGGTCGCTTCAATCGCTGCCGTGAAATCGAGAAGTTAACAAACAGAAAACGGCACCAGCGACATCGCTGACATCTGATGGCACTGATTTCGTACATTTCGTTTGCATTTTTCTTCGTGGGGGAGGTTTCTGAGATCATCAGCATAGCAATGTTTTGATATGGGTTTTGGGATGACTGAAACAAGACAGCACCATGCAAAAAAAAGATTTCAATTGCGTCAATTTGCGAGGAAGGAAGAAGATTTGAAAAGAGGGATACGCTTCTGACAATGATAAATTATTCGTATTAAATGTGTTGCTTTTGAAATTCTGGAATATGCTGGCAGTGGAAATATATATTAGACAACTCTGTTTATCAGTGTTCAAGGATATTTTAAGAAGGAAAAGTTTTATAAAGGATCGTGGTTATTATTCTGTAGTTGATCTAAATTAAATCGCATAATTATCTTTTTAGTACAGTCCTGATTGATCCGATTCCCAGTAAAACAGAAGTACATGTATTCATTGAACGTTTGAATTGAAATATTTTAATTTGTTCAATATTCTTTACATTGATAAATTTGGGACATTAACATTTTATAAATATCTTCAAGTGGCTGTAATATACAAAGATACATTTTTAATACACATATAGCAACACACACATATACATTTAGATTTATAATAAAGTACAGAATTCTGTTCCGTTTTTGCTCAACTGGTTTAAAAAAAATGTTGCTTTATTCCGAATAACGCCAAATACAGTTTAAAATCCATGTGCTGGAAAGTAAGTGTAACGGACTAATTTGTTGCGTTTATTGTTTAATAAGAGGTACAATTGTGTAACTTTCGTAAGGTTTTATTTTGGTTCGATTCTGTTCGTTTACTACTAACACTATTTCGATTAAAATCTTGGTTTGTGCTTAAAACTAAATTATATTTATAGCGGACTGGGTCGTTTTAAGCTTATCTTCGTTTAGTTTTTGGTGTTTCACAATTTTCTTGGAGCATGTGCCGAGAAAATAAATTAGTAAAGTCTAATGAGAGATGAACTTCGTTTAAAAAATGATATTAATTAGAATAAACAAAATAAATGCCATCTGATACATTTGATGCGGGGGAGATTCCTTTATAATACAAAATAATGTAAACGACATGTGGAGCATGCCGCTTTCTTAAAGCTTTAAGTTATCTTGAATTCGTTTCGTTTGATTTTGCCTTTACTTGCTTTCTTGGTTAACTCCGTTTTGCCTGATCGTGGTTATCTTCTCAGGAACTGGTGGACTTGGTGAGTTTAGTTGCAGTTGCGGATTGCAATCGTTGAAATGTACAATCGTTAATCGTTTAAAAATATTTCCGTTCGACATCTTCTTCGTATCCGCCTTTATCCACTCATTTCTACACATACATTATATACATTTGTTTTTACATAAATCGTTTCGAGCGTTCATTTTCTTTTTCGCTTTTAGTGCACATCTCTTCTGGACATTCTATACATACATATACCAATATATAAATATTCTATGATTTTGTACGACATTCTGTGGGGTTTTCACGTTCTCTAAAAGCACTTTTTAAACAGATTTAGGAAACGCATTACTTTTGCGATTAGTGTGGTACGTCTAGTGCGCGGGTTTGTAGTTGTTATTCATGCAGCTGAAAGTAAGATAAAAGTTGCATAAACATATCGAGGAAAGGAATATTTGGGGTGAAATGAAAATCTGGGCAAAAAAGCGGTGATAATTCATACAATTACTTATATATTACTTCTGTTTTATATCTGCTTTTATAAAAAGTAGTTGTTAAATAAGAGTATTTAAAATCTGATTTTTATATTTTATGTTTTTTGTCATTTCAAGCTAAATTAAGAGCAACTGGAAACTGATTTATTACTGGGTGAAAACTTTAAAATTGCAAAAAATTGAAGTGTTCTTGGCATGCATTTATCAGAAATATTTTTTGGTTCTCTGCTTAAATTAAGCTTTCGGAAATTACATTTATCGTTTCTTTTTTTCTGTTATATTTGAAACAATAAAGTGAATTTAATTTACCAACATGATTATGGAAATATTTGGTAAACGCTTTTAGGTTCCAGATATATCATCAATATAATTTTCGAATCTTGAACATCATTTTGCTAATGATTAAGTGAAATGCATTATTTTGTGGGTTTTTCTTTTGTTTAACAATTTGCATGTTTTTTGTTATAACAAAAATTTTGGGACAATGGTTCCATTATGATATTGCTTAGATTACTACTAATATATATATATTTTTCCAATCGTGGTGTTATTCTGTGGCATTTGTTTTCAGCTATTCTTAATTTGTTTTTATATTAGGTTTTAATAGTTTTGTATTTTACTTGTGGAACGTTCAATGTGATGGACTGTCGGTAATTCGATGTTTGGCGCGTGATTTGCTGTGTGAGGCGCGTCGCAGACTGCTGACGCTACCTGGGCAATTGTCATAAAAATCTAATGATTCCGATGAGAATGCTATATATCGCAATTGGTGTGATATAAAGAAAAGGTTAAGTTTAAGTAAATACTGATTGTACAACTCTGTGTTCGTTCAATGGGGTTTGCTATTGGAAAGTAAACGCTCTAGATTAAAGCAATGCAATACGTTCTCAGTGACTTGAGCAAAAGTTCACCAAAACCTACTTGATACTAACCTTTGTCTGTGGGGGAGCCTAGGGTCAGGCTACTCAGGCTGGAGCTCAGGTTGTAGGGACGCGGGGAGGGTGGCACCGGGGCGGATTCATCGCCTGGCAAACAGGTCTCAACCATGGCCTCCAAACAGTTGACAAACAGCTCCGAGGATTCACCCATCATGTTGTACTGCAAATGTATTGTTTTTTTTAAGAATAATATATTGTTTGCCATGTATTCGTGAACCTACTTTAGTAAAGGGTCCAGCAAATCGCCAGAGCCCGCCAAATCCACAGCTTTGAAGGAAGTGAAGCTGCTGTTGAGAGGGATCTTCACTGGCCAGCATATTTTGTATGATGTTCTGCACAGAGTTGAGCACCACTTGATCATGGGACACTGACAAAATATTGTTTATCTTCTGATCCAGCAGCGAATGGCTGAAACAGAACAATTTTTATAAAGCTTTTGTTAAAATACGTTATATATTTAGTACTCACATAACTGGAAACACCTTGGGAAATACCACAGAGCCTTCCGCCAAATACTGATACAAAACACGCGTTTCGCCCTCATCCGACGAATACTTGACCAAGGTGGCCAAAACAGTCAAGACCAGGGCTTGTATGGACAAATCAGGCAGGACCTCCGGGTCAAGCAGGACGTTTGATTCGTTGGACACTGACGAACGCGAACCGCGTTCCTATTGAAATTAATTTTACAGGAGTTAGTTAAGACACATCAAAATGGGCAATCCAATTACACACAGATATGGTTAAAACAAACTAGTGAGAATGGTAGATCTACGAGAAATGTGCATGTTGGTCATGGGGTGAACTTGATGCCTTTTTGGCCGCCTTCATTCAGTGCCATGCAGAGTAACCAAACTAAATGGCATTACAGCGAAACATCAATGGTATTTTAGAATGGATTTTAGTAGCAAACTTAGATAAATAGGGTTTAGTGGGGTAGTAGAGTTAGTTTAGCTAAGAGATAACTAAATTAGAGCAATACCTGACGTTCTTCGATGCCGGTTGCATTGTTCGGATCTTTGGTTGTCGGCACCGAGAATGAGCGTTGAGTTTTAAACAAAACCCGCGCGTTCTACGGATGTTTAATTTTATGTTCGAGTTGGTTGTTGTTTTTTGTCACAGTGTTGATGGTGGAGTTGTCGTTTTAGCGGGTTTCGGTAACCAAATCAAACGTAAATCAAATGACAATGTTCATGCGTAGTAGTAGTAGTAGAAGTGGCAGGTGGCAGTTACAGTTTATATTTCATATAGAACATATAGTAATATTGATATTGATGAGAGTTACAAGCACCAATTATGTGTAAGATTCGGCAGGCAGATTATGGCATAAATACGAGTATACATTGTGATATACATGAAACGTTTTTTTTTAATTAAATCAAACATAAAAAGAGAAAAGAAAAAAATCATTGAACGATTATTAGTTATGCAACGGCTGATTTCGACAGATAGTTGATATTACATAGTAAGGGGGATAAATAGATTATATAGGTTTGAAGATATAAACTCAAATAGATGGCCAAAAGTTACTATAGCAGATGGTTATAACCACTTTTGCACAGCGAATTTCGAACACAGCTCGGCCTAATCGATCATAAGTGATTACCTGAAGAGTGGGAACTTTGTGCTGGCGAGCAAACTGCAGAGCGGACTGGTCTAGGATATCCCAGCTCTTTTGTCGACGCGAGAGAGGCAGGCCAATCTAAGGGCAGATACAAAAATGTAACTTTGAATGATTTAAGTCCATGTTCTCTAAGCTCACGGCTTGCACTCCACTGGATGCTTCCCCATTCTCCACACTGCCACCTAGATCAGCGGGCCAGCGGGGCAGGGCGTGCTTCACATGACACCGGGAACGGACTTCCTCGGAAACAGCCACCAGAGCGGTCAAATAGGCCACACTATCCGGGGTAACTTCGAACTTGTCACGATGCAGCGGCTTGGCAATGATGCCCAGCAGCATGGTCAGGACTCGAGAGGTGCGGGAAACAGTTGTGGGCGTAGGATGGCGGAAACCCTATAATTACGGAACAATTTTTAGCTAATCCTCTGATCCATATGAACTCCAAACTTACCTTGATCAAATGCCCTACCAGGGCAAAGTGAAAATTGCTGCGGAACGAAAGGCCCACGGCGTGATCCAGCTGCTTAAAGTGCCACTCCAGCTTTTCCCTTGTCTTCATCATGACCTCGGCTATGGTCTCCTTCTTGTCGAAGCAGCCCTGTGACTTGAGCGTGTGTAGGTTCTGCTCGAGCAGGGCCAGGCCAGCACCGTACAGGGTAATCTCGTCCAGCTGCAGCACGGAAATGGCCACCCAAAAGAGGGCCCGATGAATGGGCGACTCCGGGCGCAGCAACGGCTGAATGCGGGTCAAACACATGACCAGTGCCTCGATCAGGATAAGATCGTTAAAGGATTCCAGGGCCTTGACCAGGATGCGCAGCAACTGCTTCACTTCGTGGTCCGTAACACTTTTGCTGATGCAGCCGTAAACTATGAGAGCTCTTGGCTGCAGTGCTGGATTGTAGCAAAAGGCAAAGCTGCGGGCCAACGAAGTCCAGGTGTTTAGCCAATCGCAATCGGGAACATCGCGCATGCAAGCCTCCATGATTTCGAGTAGAGCATCCGTGATGACCTCCAGCGATGGTAGCGACAAGCGCTCCCGATCCGCGGGCAGCGGTTGAGTGACCCTCTCATTGCCCAGCCACTTGTCCGTGGGATGACGGCAGCTGGAGCGGAATGCAGTCACTGCTGCCGACTTGACCTTGCTGATGCCAAAAAGCAGATAGAACTTGGGCAGCGAGAACTC